AAATATAAGCTATAGTATAAGCTTTCTATAAAGCAGTAAGAACTTGCATTGCAGAGTTTAATCCTATTAGTGTTTTGTTTTAAAAAGAAAACATTTTTCTCTTTTGTAAGATAATAATGCAACACCATCCAGTATTTAATATTCTCCCTATTTCCCTCCAAAAACTCCATAATATTAAATTAAAACATAAAGTAATAATTACCAGTTGTTACACAGAGCTTTCATGTGTTCCTGAAACTTTTTTTTACATTTCAGAAGTACTTTGTAGGCTTCTGTTCTAAAGCTTACGTTGACATCACAAACACCATTTATAAAGCTTTAAATGTAATTTATTTATTTTTTTAATATCACGTACATTTATGTAACACTGTTGTTCATTTAGTCTCCTCTTTGGTATACTGTCTTAACTGCATGACCTATTCAAAATAATGTACACAGCAAGTATTTAATAGAAGTGATTTTAAGACCTTACTTTTGTTCATTTCTGAAAAGGATTTTTTTCTAAAAGAAGTATTTTGACCACTGCTATACAGCTCAGTGATGTACTTGTGAACTTCTAGGGAAAAACTGGTGCCCAAAATAAAACATAGCAGAACTTCACATTTGTATTTTTACATTAAAAAAAAAAAATCCACTGAAATTAAAGATGGATAAGGAAGCATATTTAAGCATTGCAAAACTAACTCAGGAACCTGGGATTAAACTAAGCTACAAAATCTCGATGTAAAAGGAGCACTGTGCTAGTTCTTTGGTTTCTTACATTATCTGCTTCCTACTTCCTATACAGAAAGCTCTGGGGAAAAAGTTTATTATAAGGAAGAAACCAGTAGTTCTACCAGAGAAGCACTGAGTCTCACTACTGGTTTACTGTCCCTCTTTCCCTCTCTTAAAAATGGTTTTTAAATGCAATATTCAGTTAGCTATTTCAGAACATTCCCCAAATATCAACTGCATACCTGTGTCTCCAAAGTTTTTGTGATATTTGAATTCTCAGTAAGATCTTTGCTTTCTCAGGAGACCAAGTGCTTACCATAAAAGATAAAATTTTAAAAAAATTTAACTGGTTCCCTAAACTGTTAGGCGTCAGTAAAGTAACATTTAATCCTCTTTAAAAACAAATGGGGTTTTTTTTGTGTTTATTCTTATGCTTCTTATGCTATAACGTAGAATCCAAACTATGTTACTTCTCATGTAAAGACATTAAATAAACAATAAAAATACAAGAAGAAAAATAAAATCAGGTACATCTAATTTCACTTACAGATTAATATCTTAAAAGTTGAAATATTATGCTGATGATAGGATAAGAGATTTGATGAGAACACCTCAAGATTTAAGTCCAAATTATTGTACCAAAAGGTGTTATCCCAGCCAATCACACCACATACACCTTGACAGCTTGCTTCAAAAATTAGCAAGACTGAAAGTAATTCTTAGTTACAAAAGCTAGTACTTGCAGAACAATGACAACTTCTCCCAAGTGATTTAAGTAAATGAAAAGCAGCAATCCTTTTGTATTGACTGCAGTGACTTAATAGAGTTATTTTTAGTATTGTACGCTCTGTTGTTAAATATATGTTAATAAAAATATGTTAAAGATCTAGTCATTTTCAACTTCTACAGATCTAAAAGGGAGTTTAGAATGCCTGGGGTTTTTTCCAAACTACACCTAATATAAGGCAGGACCATATCATCTACTTGAGATCAATTTGATCATCCTTTTCCTCTCATACTACATATATCTTAATTCTCTCTGCTCAAGAGAAATTGAACGTCACATGCATTTATTTTGCAATGTCCAAAGCAAGATCTCTTGATAATTCACTGAGCAATTAAAATGCCTTGTAATTTCTCAAGTTTCCTAAGATATCTTGAAATGCCTTCCTTTTTTGAGGAAACAAATTTCAGCAGATATCAGATGAATGCATGACAACCATCTAACCAGCCTGCAGATTTAGGAATCCACATGTAGGCTGAAAAGATGCCTGCTCACACACACAACAGAGCAGTTTAAATGATGTTAAAGAAATTACTAGAGCAGCATTGATATGGTGCTCATTGTCCTATTTTGGTAAATACCTTTAGTATAAATTGTAACAGTTAAGGTGCCACTGTTTTTACTCAGCTGGTAGACACCATAAGAACCAAGGCTGTGTTAACACTCACACAAGGCTGTGTTAACATTGACACAGAACATTCCTACTTCCAGGGAGCACAGTGGATGGATATGCCTCAGTGACTCAGATCTAAGACACAAAAGAGCTCAGAGATTTCATCACGAAATTCTGCAGTGACTATTCACAATTTTAGGCTCAGATGCAAATGCCACAAGATACATATAATGAAAATAACTTATATAAGCTAATGTCTAGTTCCTGCTTTCAGCTTCCAGGAAAGATTTGGGATGGGATTGTTACAATTCAAACTTGTTCTTCTTGTGCCTTAGAGCATAGGTCAAGATCAAAAGAGAAAATAATGGTAAGATTAATTTGTGTCCCTACATCCAGTTAACTTGGTAACATTAAGCAAAAGTTTAAAAGAACACTATTCTGATATTGAAATTTACTATTTAACCTCATTTTTAGACTACCAGCTACTTTATCTCACTGCTGTCCAGTGAATTTTGCATTACTAATGAGATCTACATTCCTCTTCGTTTATTGCCATAGACCCTTCTGGTTTTACTGCTCTAAGCACAGAGCGATAGCGGAGCCTACACATATCTTTCAGCTGTTTCTCTGGAGATCTAACCTGCTGATCTTACTAGAGTGGCTTCTGATCTTACTAGAGTGAAGCAAGCCGTAGCTGACTTAGAAGCTCTATGAAAAGATAAATAAATAAATGAAAACATAAGCTGCCCACAGTCACTGCAATAAAAAATTAAAAAGCAAGGTAATCAGCTGTCCTGTGGATTTTGAGGGATCAGCCACTAGGTGGCAGAAAAATGCAGTTTAATTTTCTCATCATGATAAAGAATTCACCCAACCGATTTACATCTCAGATAACAGGTAATACTATCTATCAAGCAATGCCAGATAAAAAGATGACAGAAAAGCTGATTATCTGTCTTTCCTAGAGTATGAGCTACCTCAACTTTTTCTACTCTCCTGTAAAACCTGAAGAACATTTAAATGTTTGAAAACTCAAGTGTTAAAACAGTTAAACCCCATTGCTAGTTTTATTATTCTGGAAAGTACACCACTACAGGAGTACGATCTATCTTGTTCTGTTATCACAATATCACTCCATTTCATATTAAAATGATAGAATATATGGAGAAGTTATTTCAAGATTCAGGTATATGATGGTTGCTTTTCCACCCAAAAATTACATTAACAATAGCAGGTAGTGTGAAGACTGAAGCAAGAAGTACACAAAACCAGTGCAGGGAATTTGGAAATTACATCTGAGAAGCAAGGTTCTGAGTTGTCACAGAAAAACATCTAATTATAATTTTATATAATCCTTCAACATGATTTAACAACAAAAATGGCAGGGTTTGTTTTAATGAAATTATATGCATGTCTTGTTTGTATTAACAGTATTTTGGGGGAAAAATGGCGTTGTAATAGTTTCACCATTTTTTAAAAAAACTTGCAGTACTCAGTTCACCAGTTTGGTGGGTTTTTTAATTCCTATGGGCTTTTCTACGTGCATATTTCCTGTCTTTGTATGTACTGATTGTTTCTGTAATTTTTTCTTCTCCTTCAATGGTTATCTTTCTTTAATATTCTTATTGGGTACTTCAATTACTACAATATGAAATGAGAGTGGAAACTCTCATTTTTTCTACATTTCAATTTTTTCCTGCTCTCTATTCCTACCTTTTCAGAAAACAACACAGAACAAAAGTGTACTTCAAAACAAAGTACTTTAGAAATGATATCATGAGAAAGCACTACTATCACTGTAGCAACAAACAGAAAACCTACAAAACCCGAACTGTTTTACAAAAATTCACTCAGTTCCCTCAAGCATATTTTACATGTACTGTAGTAGCATAAGGACCTAAACAAACATTACTTTAAACCCAATCTATTTTACATTTATTTAATAAGATTAGGATTTTCTTTTTAACAGACTGAACTTCCTTTTACAAAAAAAAAAACCAACCAAACATTACCACAGTTAACCTTGGATTACTGTCCATAGTCCTTTCACATAACTACAACTGCCAGTGATAAAATTCTAGCTCAGTTGAAATCAAAGGGATTTTTGCTAAGATCCAATAATTTATTTTTTCAGATGACACTACTACAGCAATAAAGTCTCAGACTACAAGGCTTGGGTAGGAAAGCAAGCCCTCTTTATTGTACCCAAAGTTAAGTCTAACATTGTGGAAAGTAAGTAAAAAAGGCAACATAATCACAAGCCTTTCCTCCTCCACCCTTCCATCTAAAATAATGTTGAAAACCACACAAAAGCAGAAAAGATCAAGAAAGAAGCAAATTGTGTTTTGTCTTAAGTAAAAAAAAATTACGTTGAAAAAATACTGAGAATTTTCAAAGCTTCATTTGGAAGTCACAAAATTATTCTGCAGCAAATCAGCCATTGAACTGGGAAGAAACATGTCTAAGCAGAACATCTGATACAGACTGAATAAATCTGATAGAATAAAGCTCAAAATCCTTTTGAACTCCACTTAAACACTGTTCAAAGAGCAGCACTTTCACAGCGTCACAGGAAGAGTTTGCTGAATTAGCTATAATTCATTTAGCTAATAAAAACCAAACAAACACATTAAAAGATGTTTTGTATGTGTTTTCAGGTGAAATTAACATTTTTAAATGTCAAATTCTTCCTCATGATGATGGCTGAAAATCAGACAGAACTTCAGTATCACTTTAATTTCTTCAAATAAGAAAAAGTTAAGGGAACACCTGAGTACTAACACAGATTTGCTTTACAAACAGGTTCCTCGTTAATGTGACAGATTACTGCTTGGTACTTAAATATTAAGTGAAAACATGTTTACTATGAAGTCCAGACAAGTTACTTACTGAAGTAAAAGCCAAAAGTTCTTCTTCAGTTAATTTGTGTATTGGATTGTTCTTCTGGAAGTCTATACTGTAAAGAGAAAAATATAAAACAATGCTGATTTCATCTTTAGAATAACATTATGCAGACCACATTTTTCAAACTTGCGGAAATCTAAAGGACATTCTGGAAAACTGTAACAATGACAAATGGGAGTATGGTATGTGCAGAAGATGACCTCGACCTAGGAACAGTCACAGAAATAAAGAACTATTTAGAGGACCAAAATATTTTAGAGTACCTTTCCAATACTATTCTCAAGTGAAAAGTTTTGCTTGGTTTAAGCTTATGGGAATAACGATTTCACAAATCCTATAAAGTTTGAAATCCATTGTTTGCTTTCATAGAGATCTGTTTTCAGTTAAAATCCTATAACTAACTGAAAGGAAACTCCGCAAAGCAAAAAACTACTAATGCTGAAGGGTAATCTCAAACAAACACCCCCTTTCTAGTCGCTCAAGAAATGTCACCACAGGGGTCCATCTCTCACTAACCGGCATTACCACTACCTTGTCGTATTCAAAGGGGCAAAACCAGAAGAACACACAGAGGTGAGAAGGAAAACTATTTTATTCAGAGTTGGATCTGCTTACAGAGATGATAAAGAAACTTGGCTTGCAACTCTACATGGGTGGACATTCTCTTTAGACAACAGTCTACCAACACTTACAAACATACTACAAGAGATATCACCAAATCTCACAAAAAGCAACAAAGCTATAATTCAAGCTCCCTGTTAAAACCAAAGCTATCAAGCGAAAATATATCATACCACAGATCATCACCAAACCTATATAATGGCCATATACATAAGCTTAAATTTATCACACTAAATTTTGCAGAAGCCTTCATATTCTAGGCTAAAATTGCAAAGATACTTACTGTGATGATAGCTTACGGACTGCAATTACGCTCCCTATATTACATACCTTACTTTGGAGATAAGACTTTGCCCCAATCTAACTTTCCTTTCTTGCCATTTTATTAATTCTTCTTTGTACATACGATACAATTACCACTGCAGAAATAATGATCAATACTTTGAATAAAACCCTGTTACTAACCACAAGAATAAGATAAAGAATAGATGCCTTTTGAAAACTCAATTATCTTTAAAAAGTCATGGCGATCAAGAGAGGTTCCCAAGGACTAACAGAAAGCAAATGTCATTCCTGTCTTCAGCAAAACCAAAAAGAAGGATCCAGGTTAGCCTCATCTCATGAAGCAATACTTCCTTGAAGCCATTTCTTAACACATGGAGGCAGCAGTCAGCAACATTCACCAAGAGAAAGCCACACCTGACCAACTTGATAATCTCTATGATGAGCTTGGTAGATTGGAGGAGAGCAGTGGACACTGGCTATCTGAACTTCAGTAAGACTGAAAACCACCTGAACAGACAAGCCCAAGGAGTCGTGATCAGCAGTACAAAGCGTAGTTGGAAGTCCAATAACTAGTGGTGTACCACTGGGGTCTGTAGAGAGTTCAATACTGTTCAACGTCTTTATTAAGCATCTGGATGATGGGGCTGAGTGTACCCTCAGCAAGTTTCCTGATGGCACAATATTGAGAGGAGTGGCTGATATACCAGCACTTATCCTACTATCCGAAGAGATCTCCACAAGCTGGAGATACAGGCTGACAGGAACCTCATGCAGTTCTGCCAAGGGAAATGCCAAGAACTGACCTTGCTGGAGCAACTCCATCAGTCCCTCCTCACCGCAACCAATCTGTGATATGAAGGACAAGAAGGTGAGAGAGTAGTCTACATGGATTTAAGGAGAAGAAAACATGCCTGAATAACCAGATAGCCTTCCATAATGAGACGACTACGTTGGTGGGCTTTATCTTGACTTTGGAAAGGTGCTTCACACTGTCTTCCATACCATCCTCATAAATAAACTGATAAAATATAGACTAGGTAAACGCACAGCACTGTATACTGAAAACCACACAAACTGCCGTTTTCAAAGGGCTATGCCAAGCAGCATGAAGTCCAGCTGGAGGACAATGCCTAGCAGTGTATGCCAGGGATCAAATAAAGTTTGAAATCTTCATTAATGACCTTGATGACAGGACAGGATGCAAAGTCCTGCACTTAGGCAGAAATAGCCCCATGCACCAGTACAGCCTGGGGGTTGATCACTCAGTACTGAGCTTGGCAGAAAAGGACCTGGGGTCTCAGCGAAAACAAAGCTGAACACAAGTCAGCAATGTGCCCTCATACCAAAGTCATCCAAAGCCTCGTGGGCTACATTAGGAAAGTCCTGCCAGCAGTCAAGGGAGGGTGATCCTTCCCCTCTACTCAGTGCCCTGGTGAGACCATACCTGGGGTGCTGTCTCCAGCTCAGGCTCCTCAGTGCAAGAACGACAGGGACATATGGGAGAAAGCTCATTAATGGGCCACAAATATGGTAAATATAGGCAGGCACCTGACAAAGGGAGAGAGTGAGAAAGTTGGGATGGTTTAAGCTGGGTAAAAAAAGGCTCCAGGAGATCATATGAGTGTGTATAAATACCTGATGGCAGAGTGAACAGGAAATCACCTGTCTCTTCTCAGCGATGCCTAATGAAGGGACAAGAAACAGTGGCCACAAACTGAAATCCAGGAAATTCCAACAAAACAAGAGTAAAACACATGAAGGGATTATTCACAGAGGTTGTGGTGACTCTGTTGTTGGAGATATTCAAGGCCTAATTAGACATGGCTGTAAAAAGCCTGCTCTAGTTGACTGCTTCAAGCAAGGAAGTTGGACCACATGACCTCTAGAGGTCCCCTTCAACTCTCAAAAAATTCTTTAAATTTTCATTTAATGATACTTACAGTTTATATTTTTCAGCCTTGTATTTTGTTAACAAAATGAAGAACAGACATTATTATTGAAAACTAGAAATAAAGCTTTTTTTTATATTGTACTTGACAGTTTGTCCACATTGTGTGTGTTACCAGCTATCACAACAGGGATCTCTCTTGCCATCCTATTCCAGCTACCTCATGTAGAATATAAAAGGATTTATTGTTTTTCTTTTCTTTATTGTAAGGGGTTTTTCCCTTAAAAACCAATTAATTTAGTTTTCCTTTTCTTACTGAAGAATAATAAATGTGATATTTATGCTGTGTCCAGGACATACTGTAGGCTCTGAGAAACAACTAAAAGATGTGGCTGTTTAATGACTTCATATTGTCTTCATGCTTGAGTATACTAATTAGGCTATCCATAAGCTGTGAGAGAAGAAAGGAATCAGCATAGAGAAGATTTTGAGAAATGCAGTAATTTGAAGTTTATTTACATAGTAATTGAATATCCCAATGGAACTAAAAATATGATTTTCAGTAGAGAACCTTCCTCTGCTTTCACGTGCTTACAGTCAAAAATGGTCAAGATAGAACAGGTAAAATGTACTGATATTCTTTTGGTAAATTCTATCAAGGTGTAGCAAGAATGCACTTTGAAACTTTTAAGTTCTCTCCTACATCACTTATCTGCCAGCTGCAGAAAAAAAAATAAAGCCAGAGTGCCCGATGTATTTTGGTTTTCCCTTTGAAGACATGATATTAAGACATAATAAAAGAATTCTAAGAGTAAACAGCAAAGCATGCACGATAAGAAAAATTGATGTAACACAAGCATTCTTATCTCTTTATATCCCCACAAAAAGAAACAGAATTATTATCTGCGCAGCAGAGTACCAAGCCTCCATCCTGGTGGTATGGGTCTGTTCCAAATTCCAGCCTCATGATATGGGGGAACAGAGAGAAAAAAATGGAGGGAAGAGAAAGTTCTCCCTGAAGAGCACTGCTTCAGCATTTCTAAAATGGCCCTTCTTTAGGAACCACTAGTATTCAACAAGCTAGAGCAGCCTAAGAATGAGCACAGACAAAACGTTCCGGAAATTAAGGGATGAGTTTGAAACAAATTTTACCAGTGCAAATGGCATTTGGTCAAATTATTGTAGTCAAATACAGGTAGGTTGAGATGGAACAAAAGCATAATTACACCTCTTCTGAGATTCAATTTCCTACTTCTATCAGGAGGTAAGATTCTTTTTCTCATCTTTGTTTTTTTTTGGGGGGGGGGGCGGGGAGTGTTTTGCTTTTTTTGTAACTTAGGAGATGCCCTCTTTTAATAGTACTTTTCTTCATGCTTTTTTACCAAACTTTCCCCAAAGTATGGAGGGGGAGGGAATGACAATGACACATGACTACAAACAATACAGCACTGAATTAAACAAAACTGTGAGTGCGTTTACTGAATTTTCTAAAGGTATTTTTAGATTTCAAGGACAGTTTAAACAGTTCATCCCAGAGAATTTCTGCAGTTGAAATCTGAATGAAATCTAGAATCTACTGCTGTAAGATCTATGATCTCTTAGGATTTTTCATAACAACATGAAGAGAAGTCACTAATCATCACATCATTCAGTTTTGTCAGGTATTTTCTGTTCACTCTTGAATCCTGTCTTAAGGAGTTTATTGAAATAGAAGAGGGAAAGAACACAATGAGAAACAGATGTTCTTTAGGCAGATAAAACAGAACCTTGGAGTAAGAGAATTACAGGAAAGGAAAAAACTTTAACTAAAAAGCTGCAAACGAGGTTACATGCTAAGAGATTGAGTGCTAAGTTAACAGGAACAAAGAGTATTCAGAAAAGAATTAGTTTTGGGATGAAATAGCTGAAACACTGTCACGGTTTAGCCCCAGACAGTAACCAAGCAACACACAGCTGCTCGCTCACTCATTCCCCCACCAGTGAAATGAGTGTAAGAGAACTGGAAAAGTAAAAGTGAAGAAAACTCATGAGTTGAGAGGAATTAATTCACTGCTTTCCACCAACAGGCAGGTGTTCAGCCATCTCCAGAAAAGCAGGGCTCCATCACATGTAACACTTACTTGGGGAGACAAACACCACCTCTTCAAATGTCCCTCCCTTTCTCCTCCTTTCCCCAGCTTTATACACTGACTGTGTATAAAGTTCCATATGCTATGGAATATCCCTTTGGTCAGTTGTCAGCTGTCCCGGCTGTGTCC